GTATCTCCTCAGTGTCACCATAAGTCAGACTCAGCTTGATAACACATTAAACAAAAGAAAGTCTGTGCCCAAACCCTATTTGCAGTCCAGTCTGTAGGATATAAAGGGAAGGACATATAAAATAGGCAGTCTCACCAGATTCTGAGATTCTTTCCATCCAGCAGAAATAAAAGCTGGTCAAAACTGAGAGAAGGCTGGCACTTTTCACACTTAAGCTTATTTTCTCTGCTCATGGGGCAGGATTGGATTTCTGACAGTGATGGGGCCATGAGCAAGCCAAGTACATTGAGACTTGGGTTTCTAAAACTGCACAGAAGTAGGCAGCTGTCTTCATCCCGACAAAGTGAAAATTGCATTGTATTAGAGACAGTCGGCTTGGATAGCTTTGCATTAACACTCCACTGTGGGAATGAGATGGATGGCTATGCTACCTAAAGTCAGAAGGCCCCAAGACTTCCTATCTGCAGATCACAACATTATGTACAAGGAAACCAGTTTCAAGTAGAATTCTGCAACTTGCGCAATTTATATCCATTTCAGAAAATGTGTGTATTTTGAATACGTTTAGAGAGAGAAAGAGAGAGGTGTAGTAGAAGAAGAAACTGGCCTCTTCAGAGTTGTAAATCTGCATCTGTAACCCTAAACTCCGTGTCAAACTCCAAGAATCACAGAATCCACATCACCCTCCTTTTCAGGATTTTTGAGGGTCCAACAACACAGTTACAGATAAGCTGCTGATTGAAGAGAGAATTCCTCAAGGACTGTTTGCATGTGTGATTGCCACAGCCGGAAATTTTCTCATTGCCAGTAATTTGCAAATTAGCTTGTTTTGTTCTGTGACATCATTCTGTTCTTTCTTCCTTCGTTAAGACTGCTTTCTTAGAAACGAAAGCCTGTACCAATCATACCTCTTGAATGCTTCATGATCTCAGCTGTAATGAGGGGTTACATGTAATGAATAATTTGGCCCTGTGTCACAAAAGTGAACACCCTCAACAGCTGATAGAATACTGTGGCCTAAAGCCAGTCACTGCTGGCTGGATAGCTCAGTGGTTTAAGTATCTAGCTGCAGAGGCAAAAGCTGAGAGTTCTATTCCCCACTGTGCCTCCTGTGAGTAGAGCCAGCCTGTGACACTTTGGGCATGCTGCAAGGTCGCAGGACACCCCCAGAAGAAGAGAACGATAGGCCAAACATGAGTATATCATTGGACTGATGAGACTCACATATCTGGTGATTCACCATTCAGCAGTTGATTCCTGGGTTTACTCTATGTGGGACCAACAATTTGATTTAGCCCTTTGTCTAATGGTTTCCAATGTAGGTTTCCCCTATCATTTTAGAATGGCAGAGTTGGAAGGGACCCCATAGATCACCATGTTCAGCCCCTGTCAGGGAGGCACCATGGGGGGAATTGAACTGCCGACCTCTGACTCCACAGCCAGAGACCTAAACCAGAAGTGGCTGGGTCATTGGAGCTAATAACATGCTGCCCCATCTCAGGCTTGGGCTGTTTGTATTCTCATCAGAGATGGGGACGGAAGCACCTTGCCTGTGTTCCCCTCCTACTGAGCAAGCAACCTCACCTCGTTCTGTTTATGGGTGTGTGTGAGCCATAAAGAGAGATATTTTTAAAAAAGAAAAAAAAAACCCAACTAGGAGCAAATAACAGCTTATCCCAAGTGGGTAAGAAAGAAAAGGGTTCTTTTATAATACCATCAACTTTATTCAACATTTAATATGATTTAGCTAACATTTATCTAATTTCAGAAAAATGATGATATAGGCCTGTGTGAATTGAACGGAATTTGGGAGTAAGTCTGTCATGACGGAGAGGCATAGCTACCAACCAATGTGTGTTAGTTTATTGTCATTCACTATAACTTAATTTATGTATTTTATTTTGTCTATCTTGTTTAGTTCTAAGCAATTAATTTAAGTCAATTTATTTGAATCATATTACCTATGTAGCACTGTATGGACTGATGTTTAAATATCTATCTGTTGATACTGTGATTACTTGTAATTCCTTCTATTTTTATTTATTTATTTATTTATTTATTGGACTTATATACCACCCCATAGCGCTACAAGCACTCTCCGGGTGGTTTACAATTTTGTCTGTTGATACTGTGATTACTTGCAATTCCTTCTATTTTTATTTTTAAATTATTGTGAATTTGTTTGGTTGGTATGCCCTATGTCTTTTGGGGTACAATCTTTTGGAAAAGGTGGGCAAAAATGAATGAATGATGGTGGGGAAAACATGGTGTTATTTATTCATTGCTGAATGAGAGAAAGCCTGTGTCTTGATAAATAGGTACATAGATAGACAGGTATATGTATCTTTGAGAGGCACTTAGTTAAAAAAAAGCTCTTCAACACTTGAATGACAGGGCATGTGTTTTGCTTTGCATATAGAGGATTCTAGACTCAATCCCCAGCATTTCTAAGTGAGGCTGGAAAAGATTTCAATCTGAAATACAAATGGTTACTGCCAACCAATGTAAAAATATTAAGCTAATTGGGCCAATAGTTTGACCTGTTGTTAAACATCCTAAGACAGTTTCGTTCTCTACCCTTCACGCTCTTGGACTACATGAGAAGTGTGATCCAATGCATGCCTTACCTTAAGCAAGTCCCACTGAGTTTATTGATTTCTCCAACATAGGTGGACAGAATATTGCAGCTTCCATGCAATTTACAGTGTCTCTAACATAGCTAAATAAATGCATTACCAATGGATAATAGCACCCAACTCTTGAGGAAAAGGTTTTTGCCGCATGTGACCCTATTCAACCATTAGAAAAAGGGAGGGAAATTTTTGGCATTCCAAGATGTTTTGAACTTCTGCTTCCAGAAGCCTCAATGGCCAATGATAAGGGACTATGGACATTATAGTCCCAAACATCTGGAGGGTCAGAGTGTCTTCAGCCTTGTGGTGGAATATACTTTCAGTTGGAGACACTGTCTCATATTCTTCCACCTCAGAAACATCATTCAGCTAATTAGAATTTAGAGACAACCTTTATTGTTCATTGTATGTGGTGGGGAAATAAACAGGGGCCAGAGCCTGTGAAAATGAGATCATGGAACTGAGCTGAGTCCACTCTATTCTGTTACACAAATGCACTTAAGTTGCTGGCTAGCTTCCATTGGATTTCCCTACCACAAATGTAAAGCTCATCTTCTAAAACGTTCGTGGAATATATTCTGCCCATTGCTAAGCCTCACATACTTCCATCAGAAGCATCGTCTCCTTCTCACAGAGGTGGAGGATGCTGCCTTTGAATTGTTTTTTTCACCTTAAAGTGCCTTCACAGTGCCGATTTTCTTCACAAAGATAAATTAAGTTGCCCTGCTTTTTACTGCAAGATTATGTTTTAAGCCAGCCCTCTCTAAAATTCAAACACATCTTTTTAAAAGCACTTAAACATCCTTATTCTTAGGTTACTCCCAGCCGTGTTGCTCATAAATATTCACCTTTTCCTGAATAAGTTTGCTGATTTAAGTTGCTGCTGCCTTTAATGAAGTTTTGTTTAAGAGTATGATCACTGTTTTTACCTTTCAAGCTTGAACATTTATACAGTACTGAAATTATACTGTTCTTGAATTCTTCTCACATTTTGTCTGTTGTAGTGATGCTGCCTTTAAAATGAAACATTTCTTCTCCCCCAGTTTTCATTTATACATATACAGTACAGAGAGAGAGAGAGACAGAGAGAGAAGAGACTAACAAACAGAAGCATTGGAGCAAAATGTTGTTTTGGCTTTTGCCTTCTTCAGTTGCTCTGCTAAAAATACAGTTTCAAGGACTAACTGCATCCCTCAAATGGATCCAGAAAAATCTTGACTGAAGTGCTGTTTATTTTTCATCTATCTACCATCTATATCATCTATCTGTAATACACAGAGAGAGAGAGAGAGAGAGAGAGATCTACCATCTATCTGTAATACACACACGCACGCACGCACGCACGCACGCACACACACACACACACACACGATCTGTGCCGCTGAAGGTGCTGGCATCACTCACTCTCCAGGTAGCAGAAAGAAACTTATTTCAATGGCTAGCAGCAGCCCTGACAAATTATTTCTGAACTGATGAGCATCCCCCCCCCTCCCACTGTAACCCAGCTTTTGATGTGCCAAACAGACATCCACATTGCTTTACTGGTTGTGCTGAAGGGATGAGCTGGCTGCTCAATATATCTCCTCTGTTCTGCAGCCAAGACAAACACAATGGATTTCCTCGCTGTTTTTAACCAATCAAATGGACATATTAAATCCATCCTAATCCATAACCAGTGCAATGCACTCCATGGCAAAAGTTCCCAGGAGTTAAGAGAAACACTCAAGTTTTAAAAGTGAGAGAAAGAGAAAGTTTCCCCTCCCCTCAAACAATGTAGACCCTGCAAAGGATGACATATATCTCTAGAAATAAATATTGCCTGTTGTTTTAAATTATTCTAAGAGCTCCAGTGGATGACTGGCAGAGGATCAGCATACATAATTTGTAATAAAAGTAAACATCATTGTTTTAAAGCAGAAGCTTTGCCTGCCTTCACAGAGTCCCACTGTGGTGGGAAAAAGACGGTGCTGGAGGTACCCAAGCCCCTTTCTGAACTCACTCAATGTGCCAGCATTCCCTCTTCTAGCTCACAGTCTCACACAGAAGAAGGGCAGCACAAAGCCACAAAGAGAAATTCAGCACAGAAGACATGGATTTAATGCAGTCCTTTTATGCCCAGAAAAGCACTGATGGTTTCCCACTGAATCTACACTGGCAGCCCAAGAAAATACATAATTAAAGACATGCTGGTAATAAAAAGATGTAGGCTAGGCAGCCAATCCTTAAATGATCTTTAAACCTGAATAAGTCAACAATAAAACAAGCTATTTAAAGAGCACAGAGCTGTCAAGAGACAAACTATTCATATTAAGTCCATGAAATATTTTGTGGTTCTCTGCAAAAGCTCTCGGTCGCAAGCTTGCTTACCTTTGCAAAATGTATCGCTCCTTCCTCCTTTTGGACTCCACAACTGAGAGCTAAAAAAGAGGTCTTGTTACTTCCAAATGCTTTTGTTCTTCTGTCCCTCTGTCACATGGCTTGCCTTTTATATTTGCAACACACAAAAGTTAGGGCTGTTGTTTAAGCAAGAGAGAGAGAGAGAGAAAGAGAGAGAGAATGTCAAATGGAAAAGTGCCATTGCAGTCATATATCAATCAGGCTAGCGGCAGCAGCACACACACAAGCAAATGGGAATTCCACAGAAACGCAAAGCGCTTGTTATCTGAGAAATCACTAAACACCACCAGTCAAGCTCCTTTCTGCAGGGACTTCCCACTGGAGAGATGAAAAACTGGATGCAAATACACTGAAATCCAGCATGTCTCATGTGGTGGCACAAAAGGCTGCGCTGTTCAGGTCCAAACTAAATTCTGTCATAAATAAAAAGACTGCAGGGCTAGATAACTTGACCAGAGGCAAGTACATTCAAGTTCATTCCTGCTCATCCTTTGAAATGTCAAAAAGAGTAAGAAATCAATTTCCAGAAAATCTCTTTCTATACTCTGTGCAGTCTCTCTCTCTCTCTCTCTCTCTAACACACACACAAACACACACACACACACAAACACACACACACATTATTCACATTTATGTGACAAGTCAAGTTTTGTCTGAGGAGCAGCTGGAGAAATTTGTGCTAGATTTATGATAGGTTCGCAACGTGAGGTGTGCTCACTTAACTGCAGCTGATCAGACAAGATGCATGGTGTTGCCTCACCATCAAACATCTCTGCCAAGGCAGGGTTTTTCCGCACGTTTCCCCGAATGCTTCTTTCTCCCTGATACTTTGAAAATCCATGTTGTTAATGACTGCAGAGACAAGGTTAGTTCACTGAGAATGAATGCCTACTTGGAAGCATTTCATTCTATCATCTCCCTTCCTCTGTCTTTTTTATACTGGGCTATTTATTCTCTTAAGCTTTGGGGGGGTATTTTGTCTTTTGAGGATTTCTGGTTTTCTGCATATGCTTTCTGAATATCAGCAACCTGTTTGGAGGGCTGATCAAGATGGGACTAAATCCCTGAAGATGTCCCAGACACAAAAGAAGGTATGCTCACTTCATTTGGCCAGGATCCTGTTACAACTGCTGGTGCAGCTCCATTGTTGCAGATTTCAGCAGCCAACTGCCCCAAGATAAGACCTTCTCACAGACATTGATTGTTGTGCACCACGTCAAACATGACCCAGCACACAAGAATAAATGCCCATGTGTTGTTGTTGTTTAGTCATTAAGTCGTGTCCGACTCTTCGTGACCCCATGGACCAGAGCACACCAGGCCCTCCTGTCTTCCATTCTGTCCTGGAGTCTGGTCAAATTCATGTTGGTAGCTTCAGTGACACTGTCCAACCCTTCTCGTCCTCTGTCATCCCCTTCTCCTCTTGCCTTCACACTTTCCGAGCATCAGGGTCTTTTCCAGGGAGTCTTCTCTTCTCATGAGATGGCCAAAGTATTGAAGCCTCTACTTCAGGATCTGTCCTTCCAGTGAGCACTCAGGGTTGATTTCCTTCAAAATTGATAGGTTTGTTCTCTTTGCAGTCCAGGAGACTCTCAAGAGTCTCCTCCAGCACCGCAGTTCAAAGCATCAATTCTTTGGCGGTCAGCCTTCTTTATGGTCCAGCTCCCACCTCCATACATCACTACAGGAAAAACCATAGCTTTGATTATGCGGACCTTTGTTAGCAAGGTGATGTCTCTGCTTTTTAAGATGCTATCTAGGTTTGTCATCACTTTCCTCCCAAGAAGCAGGTGTCTTTTAATTTCGTGGCTGCTGTCACCATCTGCAGTGATTATGGAGCCCAAGAAAGTAAAATCTGTCATTTCCTCCATATCTTCCCCTTCTGTTTGCCAGGAGGTGAAGGAACCAGTGGCCATGATCTTTAGTTTTTTTGATGTTGAAAATGCTCATGTAGACTTCTAATTCATCACTGTAATTCCAGCAGTGAAAATTTCAAGGGTCAAATGCTACAAAAAAATGCCCATGTAGGTTTCTTATTTTTGTAGCATTTCACCCTTGAAATTTTCACTGCTGAAATTACAGTGATGTAGGTTTGCATATGAGAAGAGAAGACTCCCTGGAAAATAACCTGATGTTAGGAAAGTGTGAAGGCAAGAGGAGAAGGGGACGATGGAAGATGAGATGGTTGGACAGTGTCATCAAAGCTACCAACATGAATTTGACCAAACTCTGGGAGGCAGTGGAAGACAGGAGGGCCTGACGTTCATGGAGTCACGAAAAGTCTGACACGACTTAATGACTAAACAACAACAACAAAAGTATGCAAAATTTTTATTAACTTTTACATTCTGCTTTCCTCCAATGATCTGAAAGTCGGTTATCATCACAAGGACTCTATGCGGCAGGTCATGTTAAGAGAAAATGACTGGCCCCAGGTATGTGTCATGCCTCAGTAGAAATCTGACTCTTGTTGAACATGAAATCATTGAACAACCATAAAAGCATGGTCTTCACACTTCACTTGATAAATGTTGAATGAAACAGAATCATAGAAGAATTAACTTGGAAAGGGACTAAAAGGCCACCAAGTCCAACCTTCTACTTGATGCAGGAGTCCAAATCAAAGCAGATCTGACAGATAGTTCTGCAATTTTCTCTTGAATGCCTCCAGTGTTGGAGCACTCATGACCTGCCAAAGTAATTGGTTCCGTTGTTGTACTGCTATAACGAGATGTTTTTTCCTGATATTCAGACTTTATTGCCACAAACCTTGAATCTCCCAAGTAAATTTGTGAAGCATATAGAAATCCGACGACAGGGGCATAAGTGACAACAAAGGCGTAAGGTTGACTGAAAATTAAGGTTTGCATCCCGACCTTCTTTCTGTTCACATATGTTATATGAGTAGATGACTTGAAGCCCAAGTGGATAGACATCTTGGGTCGATGTTGTCACAGTCTCTTTAGATTTTGGCAGGCAGGGTGTTGTTATTATCTGAGCTTCTTATGTGGTAAAACAACAAAAGACAGATGGAAATTATGCTGTAAAAATAGACTCCTCTAAAATGGGAATGACTTGTAGATGAATAAGCATCACAAACACAACAAAGGAAACATTCTTTGGCTTTGCTTACACAGTCAGATTTCATTGGACAGAAATCAAGCAAGGCATTTTGAGGTGGACTTAATTTGAGGTTGAGCTGCTTCTTTGAACCAATGAGCAATCCATGAAATTTTTAATGTGCAGTTTTGCTGCAGTGACCCTTCGCTGCCACCTCATGTAAGCTGCAAATATGATTCCCCCAGATTCTCAATATCATTGATAAGAAATTCATTCAATCTCTTTAGAAGTAGGGAAGTGGTAAAATTAATCACTCAGAATCTCTGTTGAGAGGTATTTTTATTTTACACTGTTTAAAGGCACAACTATGGTGCACATGAAATACAAATGCAAATAAAGAAAATAAGTAATACTACTTAGAAGATGCTTATTTGCCATTAATAACTTGTTTGAATGGAATCAGAATATACTTAGGCTTACAGTACAGCCTAAAGCAGCAATTTTCAAACTTTTTTGCATCGTGTTCCAATTTTTTTTATTTTTGAGAAACCCTCATCTTTCACCATTGCTCCATTTTATCCATTCCCCCCTTTTAAAAAAAGTTAATAATTTAAAAATAAATAAAAAGCTTAGTAAAATAAAAATAAGCATAAATGAGGGAATTTTTTTCCCCTGAGAAATCGTAAAGCCGAAGATATATACCTGTCTTAGAAGTTTGCTTAAATTAACAGGAGAATTAATTTTCCTTATGACAATCTCATAGTTTTATTTTTCCCATCAGAATTTCTTCACACAACCCAGTTTGGGAACCACTGTTTTAAAACAAACGTACTGAGGAGAAACTCAGTGTTGAGCCAAAAAGCCAAAGCTCCAGCAATGTTGATTCATGGATACAATGATACCACCTGACATGTTCCTTATTTCTCCCATGAAATTTGCAAGAGACTCACCTCCCAATGGAGGGAAATAGGATTTTCCAATAGCAATATGTTGTTGTGAGCTCCTTTTTTCAAAATGCAAAGGATTTATCAGTGTCATACGCAGACAGGGGTGCATTAACCAACAACTAGAAACTTTACCCTTTTTTGAATACAACATCCAGAATGCTGAAAGGGATGGTGCTCGAGACAACACATCCCCAGCTGATGTTTGCAACTGAAGTCTGAACTCACCTCACACCAGCAGACTTGGCATGGATATTGGCCATTAATTTTTGGGACTCTTCTCTACAATTTTTTCTGCACTGCCCTTGGAGGGGTGGGGTCCAGCTTGATAAAATGAAATTTTCTCCATGAAAGTTTGCATTTTGTTTGGTTTTTTTTTTTAAAAAAAGTAGTGATTCAATAAATGTATGGTCCTACTGCTCTATTTGTGCAGCCCTAAGAGCCACACACCCTTTTCCTAATTCTTTCTGAATATCCAAAATATTTCAGTTCACATGACCACTGCCCATGCTGGTTAGGTTGCTTTGGGAGACTGTAGTATTTAAAACAAAACAAAAAAAAGAACAAAAACCACCACCCTTCCCTTCCCTATCTCTAGGACTGATACAACAGAAGTTGGAAGTACAGGCCAGAATATTGTTGTACATTTCTGCCAGCAGAACATCAGTGGTGTAACTTTCAGCAGCAAATTGCTACAAGTTAGGAAAGCACATTGAATCGGATGATTGGTGTGTGATAGGAAATGCCTATGTCAAGTTCTTATCTTGTGGGAAACTGCCATTAAAATTATGTCATCCTTTTTACACCAGATAGCACAAATAACAGGATTCTGGCTATGGAGTAAGAAATAACATAGTTACCTGTTACTAGTTACTTTTTGGGTACTAATAATAGAACAAAATTATATTTCAAAAAGTAACATAAATGGGGACGGCATTACTTTATAACAACTACAATTTTCTAGTTATTTTGAAGTAACTTTTAATTGACCATTTTAAAACACTTTAGAAGCATTTTGACTGAAATTTCCCCCCTTAGTTTTACATCATTCTTTTATCCACCCTAAATGCCCCCCCACAAAGCAATAGAATATAATGAATAGCACAATAGATAACACAAACTATCTCTTCATCATTAATATTAGTAACAACAAAGGATTGCTTTCCAAATTCTATATCTAGTAATAGAAATGAATGACTGTTG